TTGGCATGATAAAGCCATGGTTTATCAAGTATAAGATCATAATATTGAATATTAAGAACTTGAGTATTAATATTAGAAATATGATATGTATCCAGTTTTAATTTCTTGATTATTACAGATGAGTTAACTTCCTTTTTATGATCATCTGCAAGTTCCACAGTGATAAGATTCATGTTGTATATTTGTAAGTGATTATTCTTAATATATATTTTATCAATAAAATTTTGTGATGTTTCACTGTTGAGCAAAATTCAGACAGACTTTCCATTAACATAGCTAGAGATGGGCAAATCGCTGCATTTTGGGTTTTTTATACATATCATGTGCATCATGTAGCATGCATGCATATATGATGTCATGCATGATGTTATATATTATTGTAATATGAGTTTAACATGTGATAGCGGCATAAAAACCAGAATTTTACTCAATCTTAAGAAGGAAAGAGGGAAGGATAGAAGAGAAAAAGGATAATAAGAAGAGACAGAGGGAAAAAAAGATAGCTGGCACAAATAATACATTTACTACTTCACTTGGACATTTTAATCTCTCAACATTACTAAAACTTGACACAAATAAATGATAGTATTGGAAATGGTGGTAAAATGAAAGATTAAAACTTCATTGTCAGAACTAATATAATATCTTTATCAAGCCAAAAGAATTAAGTTTTCTGACTGTGATGAACTGAAATATTTCATAGAAAGCAAATTATATATATAAAAGGTAAGCAAATCATCAAGTTTATTAAAAATTAATAAAAAAAATTACATTCAATATTTTTTTGCTATAATAAAGGTATTAACGTAAAGATATATTATAATTCATTAATTATTTCTCTTCACTTTCTAATTCTTCTGATTCAAACTCTGATTCATTAATGTCTTCTTCCTCACTTTCTTCAGAATTTTTCACACTATCTCTTTCAGAATCTTCCATATCAGTTTCTTTGGATAAAACTTCCTTTTCTCCAACTGGATCCCACATTCCAATATCATCTAGTTGTAAAATTTCATTAGTAGATCTTTCTTCTGCACATACTATAGATTCCAATATATTAACTGATTCAAAATGAGATAGAGTAAGTTTATAATTATTATAAATATAAATCAATTTTAATAATCTTCCATCTATTAATCGATTTCTTTTCTTGTCATGGATATATGAAAAAGCAGACTAATTGCGCTCTGAAATAGTCAAGAATGACGGAATTATAAGAATTTGAATAGTCAGCTTGCAGAGTTGTGGTGCTATAGCATTAAAGTTACCTTCTTACCATGTAATCAGATCAATTTTACCAACTGTCTTTCAAGTTAGCTTGATATTAAAAATTCTGATTTGTGTCTTATATTGAAATAATTGTTCTCAAATAATATTGGCATCACGTGGATAATATTGATGAATAAAGTTTGAAATTATTATCATGCTATTAGCTGGAAGATCTTTATCAAGATATTATGGATCAAGAAAATTTGCCATTGCCATTACGGGATAATATATTTTTAACCAATGATCATATAATATTTTTTATATCTTATCTTTTACTTCCAGAAAAATATAAACTAATATATAATTTTGTTATTAGTTAAAATTATAAATATGAATATTTATTAATAAAATAAAATAATATAATATTTGAGATGAGTTATTGATAATACTAATGATAAAAAAGTATAAGACATGGAGTATTAGATTTAAAGGTTGCAATGCCAGTAACCAATATATCAAGTACTGTAAGTAGTAATTGTATCTCTTGCCAAAAATCCTTACTTATAATTGTATCAGAAATTGTTTCAGGAATATTAATTATAGAAGCTCAGATTATTTCAATATTAGCCAACTCAAGTGCCAGTTGATTTTGATAAATTGAGTTTAAACATGTAGCAACTGATTCTTAACGTGTCTTGACTGGATATTTGAGTAAATTTTAATAATTATAGCTGGATAATTAGTATTTTTTGAGAATTGCTGCTGGAATTTAATGAATTTTAAAATATTTAACAAGTTCTTTAGCTTCTTTCATTAACTAAGCACACCAAGATATTTTCATGATATCACCTACTAAAAGATTCAAGCTGTGTACAACACATTCAAGAAATAAAACTGATAGATATTCAATTTTTAGTATTCTTCATGCTTTTTTTATTACCAATGCATTATCAGTAATAATAGCAGAAATTTTTGATTATCTAACTTGTCTTATAATAGCAGATAAATCTTGAGTAACTGCATCAGCATCTTGACGTTTTGCTTTGGTTGGATAAGCAGAATAAAAGACAGGAGTTAGTGTAATTAAGATAAAGTTTGTTCAATATTCTTGTACTAAATTTGACCTATATATTTAATAATTTATTAAAAATTAATAATTAATAAAGAAAAAATTAAATAAATATAAATATAAATACCATCCATCAGAAATTAGACATAGATTTTTATACTTATTGAGTAATGATGTAATTTCAATTTTAGTTTCATTATATATAGTATTCAATAATATTGTAAAAAGCTTTTTTTGACTTGGTAATTTAAAAGCAGATCATGCTTTTTTCCAAAGATCTTTGATTGACTCTATCTCAGATAATGATAAAAATAATCCATAATAAAATATTGATCGTGCAAATGTTAATTCAAGTACTTTTTGTTCTGTAAATGTTATATTATCAATTTTAATATAGCTAGTAATTTGTTTATTTAACAAATTACTATTATTTATCAATGTTATTACTTCTTGATAAGATTTATCAAAGTATCTTTGTCATTATTCAATAGTAATTTAATCACATTTTCAAAAATAAGCTTGAGCTAGTCATAAAACATAGTTGATTTAATACTTACACTTTTGATATTCTGCTCTTTTTTATTGAAAATCAGGTACATATTCAAGTTTATTATAATAAGTCCAAATAGGATTTGATAGTGGCATTTTTAATTAACATGTTTTTAATGATAATCTATATCATTTAATAAATTTATATAAGCATATTAGATACATAATGACATATGCATGCACATGCACTGCATGATGCTGCATGCATACATGTATGCTATCATACAGTAGTGTCCATCTCTAAACATAACCATTAAATTTCAAAAGTTTTTCATGATTATTCTCAAGATAAGCAAATTCAATATTATTGTTATGTTATGTAATAGTTGTAGTATTATTATTATCTTCAATATTATTAATCTTGACTTTTTCTTTAGAATAACAATCTTTAGTAAAATGATCTAGTTTATTACAGTTATAATAATTATGAGTATTATTATTTCTATTATGATTATTATTATTATTATTATTACTATTATTATTATGTTGATAAGATTCTTTAGCATAGTCTAGTTCTATGAGTATGAGATCAATATTATTATACGTGTTATTAAAAGAGAAGCTTTGATTTCTTTTATATTTCTAATTATGGTTGTGATTATCATTTTTAAGAGAATGATCAATATTAAACATAGCTATATCATAATGAATTGCAAATTTCCAGATATCATCAAAAGTTTTAGGTGCTTGGTATGCTACTTCTATCTTTGTTACAGATTTAAGATCATCAATGAAATATGTAACTTGATTTAGTTCTCCTATTCCTTCAATTTGTTTTATGATATTTCTGAATTTAATACCATACTTCTGTATAATACTAGTTTGATGAAGTTAGTGTAGTTGATGATAAAAATATTATTGATAATTAGATGATTGGAATATCTTGCAAATTTTAGTGAGAAATGTTTTCCAGTTTTCAAAGACAGAATTTTCTCTAGTAGTGTATATTTTATTTAAATACTAATGAAGAGTAACATCTTCAAGACCAGTTCCAGTATATATGATACATATTTATTCATCTGTGATTCCTTGGGTGCATAATACTCTAATTACTTGTAAAATCCAAATATTAATATTTTCATGTAATTCTTCTTTATATGTTGAAATCTTGAGAGGAATTCTTAGTACAGAAGAATTATATTATTGACTATCATCATTATTACCAATATTATTAAGAGCAGTGATAAGTTGTTACTATTATTGGATGAGATTAATGAGATCAGCAAGAAGTTATTGAAATTATTCACTTAAGATATTAGGATCAGACATTATATATGTATGTGTATGTGTGTGTGAATGTATGTATTAGTGATGAATGAGTAATGTGTCATTCATTAGTTGAGGAAGTATTAGAAAATATGTATATATGCATGTATATATATAGTATTAATCTTTTCTGCTACTATCAAAGTTATAATCTTCTAGTTACATATTATAATATATCTAAATAATTCACACAGAATAGTCAGAATATAGTATTATATCAGGAAAATTCACACAGAAAATTCAAAATATAAGTAATATTATTTGAAATAGAATTCACATAAAAAACTAAATCAAAAACAAACAAGAAATTATGTTTAAAACTTATTCTTTATTTATGTATTTGTTACTTATTACTTGTTAAAAATACAGAACAAATACAGTATCTTTAAATAATAAATTAATATTATATAAAATTAATAATAAATAATACTTATATGATAATACCTCCAGAAGATGCTTATTAATAAATAAATAAATGATTATAAATGAAATATATAAATTTAGTAATATGCTAGCTAAATTAATAAAACAAGAAAAAAGAGAAATTCTACTAAGAAACTATCAATAGCTAAAATAACTTAAATAAATTGGGTGACTTTTCTTGGCATGATCAGGTAATTGTAGTACAATAAGTTACATGTGGTGCAATATGTGGTGTAGTAATGATCTGTAAGATAAAAGATAAATATAATATTATTAATAACTAATCTAATTTTATTATAAAAGAAATTAACTTAATTTTATAAATATATATAATATTCTTTTTCTTAAAAAAAATTTAGTTTTTATAAATATATTTCCAGAATTATTACAAGAAAAAAGCTAATATTAATATATATATTAGATAATACATATAATAATAATCAAAAATAATAACTCAGAGATTAAATTTATTAATAAAATATAATGAAAATTGAAATTTTCTTTCTATATTAAAATTTATAATTTTATTAAGAAATAATTTTTATTTTTATATTAAAATAAAATTTATTAGTTATAATTATATATATTTTTTTCAGATTTTTTTCTAATTATCAAAAATTTTTACTAATTAAAAATAAAATTTAATTAATAAAAATTTTTGTATTAACTTTATAATTAGAATAACTCTTTCAGAAAAAATCTAAAAAATTTGAAAAAAAATGTATTAAATTATAATTGATAAACTTTATTTTAATATAAAAATACAAATTATTTCTTAATAAAATTATAAGTTTTAATATAGAGAAAATTTCAATTTTCACTAAGTTTTATTAATAGATTTAGCTTCTGAATCATTACTTTTGGTCATCACTGTATATATAATTTATATTAATATTAATATATATTAACTCTATAATATAAATAAAATATTCAAATAAGAAAATTCACGTGACTATCGACTTGAGTCGGCTAGCCGAAGCAAAAAATTACGACTCAGTTGCGTTTGAAAGGTGATATTCAATTTAAAAATCACAATTTAGAACTTGAGGTTGCTAGACACCAAACAGATAAATTCTGAAAATCATACTGCAAGTAAATGGAATGTTGAATGCCAAGATTCCAACGTTGATGTTCTGCAATTCAAACATTGTATTATTAATGCTCCAAATTCTCCGTAGTGATGCCTTCCTCTCAGTAGATCGACAGGATACCAAGATTTCAAACGAAATTCACCGATACAAACTAATGGAAAAGCCGATTACTCAAAAGGAATATATACAAGAAGGTGAAAAATCTGCGTCAGGAAATGATTTTCTCGTCCTATTTATGACTGCAGAAAATTGCAATATCAAACTTCCGAAACAGTCCGGAATCGTAGATGGGAAAGTTTTTATGACTATTTTGGACCATTTGCTGGAAGAGCGTGCAGGTATGCTATATCCAAGAATATTTCAAAATCAAATATTAATACTTCATCTTTCAAGCAACTTTGCGGAGTGTACCGCATTGGCAAAAAACGAGCAAACACAGTCATATTAGCAAGACCATTTGAAGATATTACGGAGGCGAATGTAAAAACAATAAATACCAATTAAAGAATTTTTGTTTTCGAAAAGGTCTTCGATTCATGTAACTACAATATTACAAAATGGAATTGTGCTAAAGGATGAAGTAACGAATCTGATGGTAGATAGAGATTTGCTTGCGATATCAAATTACAAGTTAATGAGAATGTTTACTAAAACGCTACAATAAATAGTATTATTTATTTTTGTGTTGCATGTGTTAATGAAAGTCTCCAAATTCTAATTCACTCTGGTATAAATCACTCTAATTAATCCACGGATGCTCTGGAGTAATACAATGTGACACTACAAGGAGTATTCCAGAGTGACAATCCAGAGTGATGCTCCAGAACGACACTTCAAAGCAAGGAGTTTGATCATATTATTGATTGAATGTCCCAATTTAATATATATGTATCGTTAAGTTCAGTTATACGCTATCTTTAAAAAAAACTTTTATAAATATGTCATACAAACCAAATATCGATCAAGTTTTTCGAAAACTCAAATTTTTTTTTGCAAAAAGATGATCATGTACTCTCATTCTCGGAAATTAATATGTTACAACAATTATGTCAATTACTTTAGAAGCTACAGTATCTAAATTTTTTCTCGAAAAGTACTTTAAAAATAGGAATGTGATAGCCAATCACATAAATTTGATCCTATGTCTACAGTACGAAATAAAGGAATAACTCTCGAAGAATGGGAGTCAAAAACGCAATTAACAGAACTACAAAAACAAAGTGTACTAGAAATACAAGATGCTTGTCTCGAGTTACCTTTACCAGAAGGAGTATGTAAAGCTTTGCTTTTCATATTAATATGTTGTACCCTTTAGTTGACCAACTTCATTATGTCAGTATCTAAACGATATAGGAGGCGGAACAGGAACCCCGCAACTAATTTCACCCTCCCCCGGTTTAAAAGAAAATTACCGCACCTCTTCACCATATCCACGACTCACTCCTTCACCACTACCAAGATCACGGTCTACTACAAACCTGCTTGCCGAATTAGCAGCAGAAACGGCAGTAGCTTCATCAACTGACGCGTCTTCGCTTGGAATTCCACAACCTATTGAGACAACTCAACAGTTTTTTGATTGGTTTGCTAAAATGGAAACTGACATGGAGAAAGATCAAGAGGATGTTTATAGGTCAGTGGTAACATTTCTGTAAAATAAAATTTTTCGATATTTTTTTACATGAGTTTATAATATAAATTTGATGACTTATTTAGAAAAATAATCTATTAATAATTTATTGAAGAAACTTCCTGGCTATTATTACCGTATATCGTCAAGCGTGTGATAACTTTCTAAGTCAGATTGACTCTACTGTCAAGCTTTTTCATGATCTCGATGGAAATTTTCGATTTGTAGAAGAACGTACAAAGGCATTGCAAACTGCATGTGAGAAACTTTTGGAAGAGCAAGTAATTGTTTTTTTTTTTTTTGATTTTTTGACTGAGAACCCTTTATATATAAATACATATAACAAATTAAACTTTTATTTGATATCCTTACAAAGAATCATCTGGAAGCGTTAGCGGATGCAATGTCTTCCAAACTCGCATACTATAATGAATTTGAAGCGATAAATAGTCTCTTTAGCTCTCTCGGAGAGAATATTTGTGAAAAGAAGGAATTTCTTCCGACGCTTAACAAGTTGGATGAATGCTTAGAATACATGCAAGGAAATGTAGTTATTTTTTTATTTGATTCTTAATAATTCAAAGTTTGCTTTGATTTTGAGTTTTGATAACGTTTGGTTTCATATAGTGATTGAATTATTATTCTATGTTATTTGTTTGGGATAGCTAAGATATCGCGACTCAGAACTATATCTAATGCGTTTTCGACAATGCATGACTCGTGGTATGAACTTGATAAAGATGAGTTTTGTTGGGGATATTAAAGGGCTCGGGATAGAGATTGCCAAAAAGGCCAATCAGGTGAGGAGATTAGGATGACTGAGTGTATAATAGGATCTTTTTTATCTTGTTATCTCAAAAAAATAACTTTTCATCGTCTCAAAGCCTCTAGACCTCGAATCTCAACAAGAATTATCTTATTCGAAATTTCGAGCTTTGGCACCTAAACTTAAGCCGCTTTTAAATGAGATAGAGAAAAGGTGTCCAGCTTATGGAGAGTAAGCAACTCTTTATTTGATTCGTATGTTTTTTCTTTTCTCATAATGTATATAATTTTTTATCATTTCTCATTGTTTTCATAGATATTCTTCATTGCTAAGTGACTGTTACAATGCATATTTTTCGGTACGTCAACAATTGCTAATTCCAGCAATCGTCGCTCAGATACAATCAATGGGTTCTGGTGGTTCGGATATCTTGGCTTTTGTAAGTTTTTTCCTTTTCATGCTCGTATTATTATTATTAATAATTTAATAATCATACAACTGGTTTTTGATGATATATGTATATAATGAAGACACGTAATGGATACAGTTCTATGAAAAACCTTTGTTCTGATGAATACTCCTTGTTCTATGAATTTTTCTCCACAGGTGAAGATGACTTGTAGTAAGTGTGTCAAACACGTTTTTTGTCTATTGTGTTTTGTTTTGATAAATATGTTTTGAACATAAAATTTCTTTAGTGGCAATTTAGATTTGCTGTGTAGTTATCTCTATGATGAGCTCCGTCCACTTATTATCCATGAAGCACATATCGATACGTTATCCGAGTTATGCAAGATATTGCAGGATCACGCTATACACGATAAGCAACTTGCAGGTATGCATTCATTTTGCACGAATTCATTTTCCTTCGTTTAAAGAGATTTTATTTACAAATAGAAAAAGGAAAATCTGGACTACGATTCAGTTTTTTAATTCGGAATGTACTACAAGATGCTCAACAAAGACTCGTATTTCGAGCACAAACTTACATTGAAAGCAATATAAAAAAATTTGTGCCACAACCAAATGACCTCGATTATCCAAACAAACTTAAAGGTACTATTATTGCTACTTTTCTAAAACTATTTTGTGCGAGAGGATCCTAATGTTAGTCCTCATTATTGTTTAGCTTCGTCCGAAATTGTTGTTGGCGAAGAAACCTCAAATATTGAATCGGAGCAACATACTCTAACAACCACCGACGTAACTACCACTACTATTACTAATACTACTACACAAACAGCTCTATCTTCAGGTCCTGCCTTATTGTCAGTGCAACAAGAATATAGTGATGATGATATTAATAATGAAGATAACAGATCAAATGTCTCCACATCATCATTCTTTAACAAAACTGAAACGACAGAGAATTATCGCGGATGTTTCCCCACATTGCAACGGACTTTGTGGATTCTTTCAAAACTTTATTCATGCATTAATGTGCGTTTATCCTTAATTAACGATGAAATGTATGTCATCAGTATTTTTCTAATTATCGGAATCTTATTTTCTTTTGAATTACTAGGATTCTATATTTGATGATATTGCGCAAGAAGTTGTTCAATTGTGTTTAGAATCTTTATTGACGGCAAGCGAAAATATAACCAAAAAAGTAACAATAACGCTTATTTTTTAATTTTTGTATTTTGTTTGTGATTATTTACAAGCAATTAAAATTATCACATCATCATCATCCTTGCAGAACAAATTAGATGGTCAGCTCTTTTTGATAAAGCATCTTCTAATATTGAAAGAACAGATTGCAACATTCAAAACTCAGTTTATTCATGAAGAAAAAGATTTGGATTTTTCCGAGATCACTGGTAAATAAATAATCATACTGACAATCTTGATTTTGTTAATTTACTTTATATGAAGGGTGCTTATATTATTGATTATTATATTAAAAAAGATGCAATTAACGAAATTCTACAAAACAAGTATTCAATTCTCAGACCCAATACTTTGTTCGGGCTGGCACAAAAGGGAATGCCGAAAGTTGTGGAAAGTAGAGTTGATTCTAAATTGGTGTGTACAATTATAATTTATTTATTTAATCAAGTTTCGCTCGACAAAACTAATAAGTAGATAACTAAGCTTCAATAAACAATGATAAACTAGGAGGTGGATAAAAGACTAAAAAGTGTCTGTGAAGAATTTATTTTGGATAACGCCAAGGAAGCCGTTGAACCTTTATCATCTTTCTTATTGAAGGCAAGTTTCAACAAAAATTCGAATGATATAAGAATGGTTTATTCACCGGAGTTTGTTTATTTTGGTGGTTGTCTTAGGTATCAGCGTTTAGAATGAGAAATGATCTAAAACCTGCGCATCAGCAAACTCCACTAAAAAATCAAAGGTTTGCTCAATTAAGTAGGTTTGCTTATAAATAAAGATATAGAATCCATTCATTATCCGAGGCAATTAATTAATAGATTTCATTATATTGATAGTAAACATTATTCAAGTATACGAGGAATTTCAAAGTTCAGTGAAATCGCGGCTCCGATTCATCACTTCAAAACTATCTCAATATCTTAATGACGCTAAAACGGAAAATGTGTTACTTAAACCTATGCAGGTTTGTTTTTTTACTGCCTGATCAATTCAATCACGGGATCACTAGCATTTATTTATTCAAACTACTCTTATCAGAATCATATTATCGAATCATATCAAGCGTTCTACGATATCATCGAATTAGAATTCGATATGGACAAATTACAAAGTTCGCTGAATTCCGTGGAGAATGTCAAAATTTGGGTTGAAGATTCTGATTCTTGGCAGGATGAACGAGAAGAAAATGAAGATGTAGTGTGGTATTCATGAAGTGTTAATGACAAGAATAATAATTTTGCTTCAAAAACTATAAATTGAGCGAATGTACCAACTAAAAACAAAACATAATTGGTCATGCTGCAAGAAAGCAGTATGGATAGATCGGCTTTGATCTGATTTAAGGGAAACAAAATCTCATATTCAATGGTATTTACAATCTGGAGCCGTAGCTCTTACATGAAATTATATATATTTTTTGTTGCATGGTAAGGATTGTTATACCAGAGTAGAAGTAGGTCTAATTAATTATACGTTTCGGATAAGCAAATAGTGGTATGATATAATTCCTTGTTTAAGAGGTGATTTAGCAATTTCTGCAACCATAGATACATTGGCACGTCCAACCAGTAGGACCGCCGCATTTTCCACAACAGGGTCTTCTAGGACCGTCCCTGACTTTGTATTTACAATGATAGTTGCATTCGCCGGGAGACCATGGACAACCGTGTCCATTAATCACAACTTCAACAGCAAACACGAATTGGACAGAAATAAGAATAAAGACAAGAAGGAAAATTCGTCTCATGATGCAAGATAGCGAGAATATAGTGAAGTACAATTGAATGGAGGAAGCTGTAAAGCAAAAAGTAAGTAAAGATAAGGTTGTATGAGAAAATGAGAACTGTGAGAAAATCACTAGTCAAAATCAGCAGTAGCGTCGAGGCCATAAATGATAATCTTACGATCCCTTTCCTTTCGCGTAGAAGCATCATCTGTGAAACTGCTTCATTAACTAGAGCCTGGATACGTTCCCATAATTAGTTTACTATAATCGCTCAGTGTCATGAATTTGTGTTGCGTATTTGTGTTATCACCTCCAAAGTACATACTTGCATTGATTTATGACAAGATCGTTTTTTTATTATAAAGCGAATCTAGCAAAATAGAAATAATGAACCCATATCAAGTTTTCATAATAAAAATCTTTTTTGTAAACGGTTGTTGTGATACGTAATGAATATTAAATTGAAGATTATGATAAATTATGTTTCCATTCCCAAAATCGAGTTAGTATTTCTTCTTCTCGTAATTTCATCTAATAAAAAAGTTCGCAATCACCTTTTTGGAAAATATCAACTGAAATACTTGAAATATTCTAAAAAAAAGTACCTCTTCCCATTCAACATCCGTTTCATGATTATATCCCATCAAATGACATATTCCATGCACACACAAAACAGGCAAACGTTTCTGGAATTTTTGATCATATTTTTCGCACCAATGTTTCACGTACTCTACGGATATTACCAAGTCACCGAGATTTCGGAAATCCGGTGTTTCGGGGTGTGGTAAAATACCTGGGGAAAGTGCCTTTTTTTTCGATAGATCAAATATATAAGTTATTAGTTTAGAAAAAATTACCGTAATCTTATATAACTCGTAACAACGAACATCAAAGAGAAAACGGAAAATACGGTAGTAAAAGGAAAAGAAAGAATATCAGTAGGTTTTGCTTTATTTCGATATCTTTTGTTTAGATACTTTATGTATCGATTTCCTGTTAAATGTACACCTAAATCCCAGTCCGGAAATCTTGAAAACGTCAAGAGTTTCTCTAAATCACATTTGAGCGTTTTGGGTATCGGTAAGTAACGCTGCGTATTTTTTACAAGAACAGTCATATTTTCAATCAAGATCTGCAAAACCCCAAATCTGGGAGATTTTTCATGGACAATATAATTTCGATTGTGAAAATATATATATATATATATTGTATGATATTTATAAATATTGGGGCAGCGTTCGAACAATCAACTATTATGAATTAACAAGTTAATAATAAAAGATGCATATAGCTTTGTTCAATTTTTGCGAAATTTATTTTCCTATAAAAATTCAAAATTTCACAAAATCACATTTTACGCATAGTAAACTAAGAATTTAGGAAAAAACCTAATTTTTGCGTAATCACACAAAGGTAGAATCAGTAGGGACGACAGAATTACTAGGTGAATTTGCACCCGAAGACGATTCAGAACCTGATTCAGAATCTGATGGCGAATTAGAGCAGCCGCCGCCGCCGCCGTCGCCGCCACCACCAACAGCAGCGGTGGTGGTCCCCTGCAAAACTTCAGTAGCCTGAACTGATGACGTACTAGCAGCATCAAGACTAACAAAACCATTCAGTTCATGTTGTAAAAATTCTTCCGTTGATGGCATATTTGATTTGGTACTGGAATAATGAAACGATTAATCATCTTTTCAAGCAAGATTAAAGATCAATAATTTGAGACTTACGATCCAACAGGTCGTCCACGTTTTCTTTTTTTCAACGGTTGGTTGGCCAAACTTTGCTTCATTGGGGCACAAGTATTGCAAAACCATTTTCCTTTCGGAACTTTTTCTAATCCCACACAACCGATATGGAACCACTCATATGGGCAATCCTGGCAAAACGAAAAAAAAAGGGCAATTCATAATATAGTTCCAAATAAAAAATCATCTTTTTTTTTTACGATAAATTACCTCCCCATCACACCCAATCATTTCGCCAAAACTGACTTGACGACAATAGCAATAAGTAGGCTCCGAAATAGCCATACTCGTAAAACTCGAGGGCGCTAAAACTTCTTCACTAAATGTCATGTCTTCAGATCCGCCAAAATCTAAGCCAAAATCATTAAAAGTCTGTTGTTGCTGCTGCTGCTGCTGCGAAGAAGCACCGCCGGGTGTGGGGCTACCATTAAATTGATAGTCCTCCGATGTAATGCGAAATTTGATGCCACGTCCTCCTATAGTACTATTACCGTTGTTATTTGCATTTGGATTATTAATTGGTGTTCTGCTTCTTTGCGTGACATACACATAAATGCATAAGGCATATGTTAAGTTCTACTTGAGTCGGGTGTTTCATCTCCTGTTGGGGATTTATCGTATGATTAGGAATGGAATTTTTTATTTTACCTTGATCCTCTTTTCCTACTACCCCCAGCATTATTCAACCCTGATTTACGACCTGCTTAATAAAGGAGCACAAGCAATTTTAGACCAGTTCTGTATATTATGTTAATATAATAGATAGATTATTATGATATATCCCATTTAGATACTGACGTCCTCTTATACTAACTAATTGATTGGATGATAAGCCACCACCACCATTTTGAGGATTCGGCAATAAAGGTAATGCTGAATATTAGAAACGATACCATTTAAATTCAACTAACACATTGGGCAGAAGCACAATAGCAGCAGTAATAATTATGACAGACATGCACTAAAAGATGATAGATAATAGGAAGATTCTAGAGTGAAAACATACAAAATTGTGCATCCTCAGATTCAAAACTCGGTGAGCGTCGAGAAAGAGACTCAAAATCGAAATTTTGTTGATTATTGACGGATAAAGAATTGTTGTTGATCAACGCCGACCCTCCATTGCTATTTCCATTTATTGTGGTAGGTGTATAAGTGGGGAGTGTATGATTTGGAAACAGTGCCACAAAATCATCGTCCATACGTTTAAGATGTCGTCGAACCTTCATTGAAATATTCAAACTATCAGTCCACACCCCCCATTTGATGATGATCATGAGATGAGCATAAAGAATCATTTAATAAAACAATATTCACCAAATTGAGCGCTTTTCCAACTAACTCCACCTTTTCTTCCGATAAAAGAATCGCTCTGTCATACCCTTCACGAATGATTTGTTTGAGTTCACTCTCTGTGTATTTTTTATTATCCTCACCATCCAACATTCTTTTTTTATTTGGATATCGCGAGTCATCATCATCATCATCCTCGCTGTCTTCATCTGACGACAAGCTATCCATCATATTCCACAGTTTCTTTTGCAAAAGCTTCATCCGCCTCCGAATATCTAACACGATCATGATGATAGATCGGTCATCAATGTTTGAATTACACGGAGTGCATCATTTTTCTGCTTTATCGTAACAGAAAATATTAAAGGGTACCTTCTACTTCTTTGTCTTTATTTTCTATTTCATGAAATATATGCTGAATTTCTGGCGAGAGATTATCAATGCCTACGAAAAAGACCAAACCTCATTTAAGAAAAGCAGAACTTTGTACACGATAGAAAATCAGAGAGAAGAGGTCGATATAACGATCAGCTAATTCTTTAGACGTGCACAACATACTTGCTAGATATTCAAGTAAATACTCATTGGCATCAATAGCAGAATCAGTCATTTGAGTCATGACAATGTAAAGTTGTTGGATTCAGATCAAGTTATAGCTTTATTTTCGTTTTATAGATTGAACAAATACAAATTTATTGTGGATATGAAAAAAACTACAAATTAGACATTACATTACACAGCATGATTGACATAGACCCATAATTTTCAGTAGAGGTCACGTTCATTTCTAATTCGGGGAAACTACATTATGAATCTTCGATATGATTGGATATCATTAGGAAATTCCGACTCCCGGCGGGGTTGGAATCCTGAAGCACATTAAAAAGTCAGATATCAAAATTGTATTCATAAATATTTTTAATAAGCTATGTCCTCAGGATCTCATCAATAAGGTAGTCACTTTTTATATCAATTTGTATTTTCAGATCATATTTATCATCAAATAGTAAAAAAAACTACCTTCGTAGTAAAATATTTGAAGCTCTGATAACCAAGTCTTCTAGAATCAAGCTTTCAAAAATTCAATAAATGTCCCATCAACTAACCTACTCCACCCCGGAATTCGCAACAAATCTTCAATTTCATCCTGTATGATTTCCAGAGGAACCTCCAACATTAAACGATCAATTATCATCTCTATAAGCTTATCAACAATTTTTTCGTTTTTTGTTGCTGTATTGTATTTAATAACTTTACGAAAGTATTTTAAAAGTTTTGCAAGAAATGGCGCGAACATCTTTTTTGACCTTATTTTTTTTGAATGTTTGTTTGTCATAATCATCATCATTTCAAATTGAGAGGAAACATCGAAAGCTAAGAGGAAAAGCACCGCTGTGTCTATAAAGGGTACTTGAGGTTCGGTTAATTTAATAAGATTAGTAATAGAGGAAATAATGGTGGATGTGGTTCGAACAAAACAGGACAACCAGATGCTTAATGAAATTTGATAGATGGATGAAATATTTAATCGCTGAAATTATAAATATGATATATAAATTAATGTCACGTTGGAGCATGCCAATAATGTAACATATAACACAGACCTGATCATTCGACATTTTTTCATTCCTAAAATTAGTCTCTAATAATTGTTGGAACAAGTGAAAAGAAAATAATATTCTGGGCAGAAATCTAATAATACTATTTAGCATATATATTCGTATGAAAATAATAATTAAAAAAATGGACGCATACTTGGTTGGTGCATTAACAGCAAATTCCACCATCGTCGATATTATGAGAATGAGTTGCTCATATTCTTTTTTCTCAAGTAATAACGTTCTAATGTTCTTTTGCAAATTTCCAAACGACTCGAGCGAACTCATGTTTGGTAAAAGTACGATATCACTTTCAATTTCTTTTTCTGTTTCCTACAGGACATGTAGTTTGTTGATTCGATAATTAAAAAAACTACCTGAATGAATGTTTATAAAAACTTCAATTAATTAATACCTTTCCACTACTATTATCCCGTAACTTTTTCACAACTTGCAATTTCGATATTTCAAAACAATCGATCCACGTTTCTGTTATCTCGTTGTACATTAATTGTTGGATGAGAGATGGAAGTGAAGTGCACTGGTTATATAAAAGATTTTTATATTAACTAACAATCACATATATTACATAGACAGGAAAATTTTTTTATTAATGTATACCCTCTCAAGCACTTCTTCCCCATCGATAGAAACATTCAAGTGTCTAATCAGAGGAACGATTTCGTGTGGTGATGTGTTTCTGTATAAATTCAACCTTTTTTTTTATAGGTTATTGAATACAGCATTATTCATTAATATTAAATTTTTTTCGAATTTGATCGGAGATTATTAACTATTATGAATATTCATACACTGCACTAAGCGGTCGTAAAAGATCGAAATCATTACAAATCGAAAACTAAAAAAAATAAAAGGCAAGAAATTCAGTATATTCTAACAAAATAATTATTTATTATAAAATCTAAATTCAAATCACATTCAACAAATCTTTTTTAATCATCCCAATTTCAGTTGGAAATCGTGAAGCAAATATCAAAGATTGTTCCAACCGAGTTAACCTATATTAAAATTAAAAAAACTTCGAAAATGAATAGAAAGATTCTTCATTAAATTACTATTTATTATTTATTACCTTAGATTTAGATGTTCACGTATCTCATCTTTGTCATTTGATACTATATCCAACAAAGATGAAGAATCAAATATAGATTTGCAGTTAATAATAGTAGAAATAAGATCCTGCAAGATTCGACGAATCTTTAGGTCTTCATAACCGGCGGTTTTTTGCAACTACGATAAGAAAAACAACCAATTCATTGCGCTTTTTTTTGAAATTCTAGATCGAAATAAAATTTTAGGTAATAACCTTAAGCATTGAAGCAAAAATACTGGAAATTATTTCAAGGTCTTGCTTTTCCAATGATTCATAGCCATGATCTTCTCCCTCATTATTATCATGATCATCTCCGGCATTTTTCTCCAGAAACACTTGTTTCAACATAGAAAGAACCCAGAATAAGACATTGGTTGGGACGATCGGTTGATGGAGTATTTTCTCGATTAATTGATACAAGAATCGTTTGGATTTAACTAAAAATATATTTTTTTAAAATTTAATTCGATAAGCAATATAATTAAAATCCAAATCGCCAAGAAATAAGAAATGAATTAAAATACAATCAAGTGGAGATTCTTTGACAAAATCGGATGAACATAAAAGTAACACGGTAAACGCGTGCGGATTGATACTTTCAATCAAGTATTGACAGAGAATATTCGCCATCATTGTTTCTGAGGTCTATTTTTCGGTTACTTGATTATTAGTAATTGTGATACGATATGATAATAAGATATTTTAAATATAGATACCGATGGATCTGAACATCGTGTCAAAACTTCATCTAAGATTTCAATAAAATTCTGTCGATCAATGCTAAATATATTTTGTTATATGATTATTTTTTTGCTACAGGAATATAATACGCATAGTAGCAATATAATACGAATAGTAATATAATCGAATGTTTATCTTTTTACCTGTTTAACAAAGTCTTATCATGAAATGTTATTCGTTGTTGGCTTTCTCCCAACTCTCTAGTTTCTATTCGTTGAAAAAAAGTTGCAATAACTTCCATCATAAATTTTTTCTCATTTATGATCAATTACTATTTAACGAAAGCCGCGACGTCATCTTTTGATGTCACATGGTAAATTTAGTGATGAAAAACAAAATTTTAACTACACACTTGCACAACAGTTAACTTGCATACTTTACCCTATCCTATTTATCATTGTACCATCCGACATCAGATTTTTGTTTAATGATTTTTTCCTCGTTAGAAAGAGGTTTCAATCAAAAAGACACATTCTACGCAGCGTTATTATTGTTCCTTTTTACTTGTTTTTTAGTTTTAACTTTTATATGAAGTCAACAATTCAAAAATAAAACAGCAACAGTAACCGCAAAAAATCTCCGTCCTACACAAAGGAAAATGTCATTTGAAGATAACGTGTGGGAATTTGACGAAACACCACAACACCCAGCCCTCCTCCTACCAAGTCCACTAGTAAAACAAATAACTGAGTGCCTTGATTCGCAAGTCGATCGCCTGAACCTATGTCTGGTGCACAGAGCCTGGTCCCCGACAGCCATCGAGGTGTTATGGTCAGAACCAGTGTTCAAGTCACCAGACTCTTTTCTCTTGTTCATACGTACGGTACAACAGTCGAAGCAATGTGCCCTTCGCGTTCACATTCTTAACATGTGCGCCCCAGAAGAACAAGAGAAACACGCATTTGTACCTGTACTGCAGTCGCAACGTGAAGAACATTTGGTAATGCAACCAATGCTCATGTCGAAACCGAATATTATTATGAACATCATTAGGCTGTGTGAGAACCTCGAGAGCTTAAAGATATACGGGTGGAATTTGGATGATAAGCATATTTATTTGTTGCCTCAATATTGTCGACGTATCAAGAATATTCGCATCATCGGAAACGCACAAATCACTCAGCAAGCTTTATACTCGCTGACTAATTCTCTGGCAAAAAAGCTCGAGGTTCTCGATTTGGACGCTGAATTTAATCTTTCAGATAATTTCGCCGATACACTGGCTATCAAATGCCCGAACCTAAAAACGCTCAAGTTTTCCACAAAGACAATGTCTTCGAGAGGTTTTGATATGCTTGCTGCTAAACTCTATAACCTACGTAAATTAGTGCTGCAAGATTGTCCAAACTTGACGGACGATAATTTAAGTCATTTCATCGAGAGTAACCCTGACCTTACCGAAATTGCAGTGCACGGTGACCTTTTAACTATTAAATCATTTAAAACAATCTTGTGTTCGCTGCAAAATCTGCGGCGGCTAGACCTGCGTTGCTCGCCACAATCCCTTATTATTTCTCATGACACGAGTTGGTTTATGCCAATCTCACGGGGACTTCTTGTTCTCCTGTTGGATTGCCTCCCTGTCGACGATGAATTGATTCATGCCGTGTCAAACGCTTGTAAGCAATTGGAAAAATTCGGACTATCGCGGTGTCCTTACGTAACTAACGCATCTGTTAAATATGTTGCGGAAAATGCAAAAAATCTACGTTTCGTTAATTTTCTAAAGTGTCCAAAAATATCCGAGATTTGTCTCAAAGATCTAGGATGCTCAGCTAATAACACACTCAGGGAACTGATTGTAGATTCATGCGGGGAATTTTCCCGAGAAGCTATCCATTGGTTCGCCGGCACTTCACCTCGACTCGAGAAAATGGAAATCCACGGTTTGCAATCAATAATTGATTCCGACCTTTATAAATTCTCGAAAGAATATAATTCTAACTCGCAAGATTCCATCAATCTTCTACGATGTACTTTCGAAGGTGAAAATATCAAAAAGCTTGCTGATTATGATATCAGTATTCCAATGGAGATTTTAAACAATACTCAGCATGCACACAAGGACAAGTTATTGAACTTATTAACCCCCGAACACACAAAATCATCTGACTCAATTCTTATAAACGAATCAATAATCAATGATTTAGCTTGTGAATTGGGGTTGAATGTGGATACATTGAATAATGCTTTAAAAAAAGTGCTTGCCAAATCTAAATTTAATTCCTTGTTACATCCGGCGGCGGCTACTGCTGCTTCTGCGACGACAGTTTCTCACGCACCATCTCGCTCACACAGAGAAAAGGAAACTGAAAATCAAGTCTCAATTTCTAATAAAGCATCGAAGAGCAACGCAGACAACTTGGAAGCAAAAATAAAATCAGGTCACACTGAGAAGAAACTCATCGATGATAAAAAACCGTCATTTATCGAAGCACAACAAAAGGAACGTACACCTCCAATTAAGTCTCCTACCTCTCCAAAAAGAAAAGAGTGGTCTAATGTGCTTCAAAAAACCAAGAACGGATGGTCAACTATCTATGTTAAATTGCCTGGTATGTATCGTAGCTCACCCAAAGAGGCACAAGCTCCTGAAGCATCTTCTCCTATTGTCCACGAAGCTATCGCCGCTAACACAGAAGAGCATGCGTCACCTTCAAGTACCAGTTCGGAAAAAAATGAGCTTTTTATAAAGTTGAATGACATTAAAAAAAATGAGCCGGTAATATCTTCGAATGTAACTTCAAATGTCGAAGATGTGCTGAAGATCTCTTCCGACGGAACAGTCAAAATTCCCGAGCTCGAAACGACATACGATGTACATCATGAAACTGTAACAGGAACGGCAGCTAACTCCAATACACAATCCGAGAAAGTGGAAGTCACTCAATCTCGATTATCGACAAAGCCACAAACCCAATCCATTAGCGACCAACTGCAAAACACACCAGGCAGATTGGAAAATTTTGAAGTAAAGCCGTCCAGTTCTCCAGCATGGAATATTCAAAATGATTACGAAAAAGACTTAGGCAGATGGCATGTTCAAAATGATTACGGAGAAGACTTAGGCGGATGGCATGTTCAAAATGATTACGGAGAAGATTTAGGCGGATGGGAAGAAATGGGTTCTACATCAATGTTCGATATGAATAAAGCGGCGAGAAATAATACATTTGATAATATGGAACTGGATTATTCTGACGAAAATTCTTTGAATCAAGATAGTATTGTATTTAATCAGTCTCAGCAGCGAGAAACCGTGATGAATACACAACAAAAAAAACCCCATTTTAACAATGACTATAATGACGATGATGATGATGACGACGACGACGATGATGATGAGGAGGAGGAGGATGATGATGATATCGCACAGAAAATGAATGAAAATTTGGGGTTTTCACCTTTCCCCGAGGCTTCAGAAAAGAATAGAAGGAGGACACTCAAGGTACAAGAACAACAATCACCACAACCACAACAGCAGCGGCAAAACGAACGAGATCAAAAATCCGAAATTGATAAAAAAACGTGGCCTAGTCTTTCAGATGCCTCTCGCCTTAAAAATAAGGACATTGATGAAAAAAAGTGGCCTAGTCTTGCAGATGCTTCTCAAATTAAAGATAAGGACACTAAAAAAGGAAACGATGATCTTGATGCATGGGGCTCTTCAATAAATTTTACCTCCGCTTGGGGTACACCCAAAAAATGGAAATCCGAAACAGAGGAAGTGAAGGTTACGACTGCACCACCAGCATGGAACGCCAACGATGTGTATAAACTAAAATCCACACCACTTCCTGAACCGAAATATTTCAAGCCAAAGAAAGTGAAGTCAACGAATTATGACCTCGACGACAGAGAAGGATGGGGTCCCATTCCAGAAAATTGTATTCCGTGGACCGACCAAGCGCGGCAAGGATATAATCACGAACTAATTCAAGAACAGAACGAAACTATATACCATTCTAAAATTGAACATAAATGGATCAATTGCACCAACAAATATAATAATAGCAAAGAGAATCCGGAAGAGGATACTCGAGATCCTGAAGATCTGGATGATACATTAAAGAAAGGGAAACGTACACGCGGCGACGGAAATACTTGGGAAACAATTCGTGATAACACACGAGCTTTCGAATCACTGGAAGACAATGCAAGAAAGGAATTAGAACCCATAAAAGCGTTTTCCTCAATCATGCAGAATTTGAAAGCCGATAATTATAATAAACCAAATTATGAGCGCCTTGGTAATCCGCAATGGAAAACAGAAGAGGAATGGCGCAAATTTGTTAAACACAATAAACAAGCATCAAGCAATAATAATAATCTTGACATTGATCCAGATAATAATAATGAGATTCCTATATTATCCGAAAATGATGATAAAGAATATGACGAATCTGACTTGGAAGACACGAACCGAATAAAAGATACTTACGAGGCCTCATTGAATGAATCAAAAGAAGCCAAACAAGAGGAGAGCTTATCGCCAAATATTGACTCTGGCCATGGCTCAGAAGAAGAAGCCCTTAATGACAAAACAAAAATGGTTCCGTGCAGACTCGAAGAAGATAAAGATCAAATTCAAAGAAAGGATGACAAAGACCTGATAGATACTTCGGTTGTAACAACTGTTCCGATACAGAATAATAATAATAATAATAATCAAGAAGAAATTTCAAATGCGACTCGAAAACTCGAACCAAATGAACTTGCTTTAAGTAATGATCTTTCTTTGAAGGACGAGTCCGCAATCTCTACTATTAATGAGAAGGATGATAATAAGAATAGCAATCATGTAGTTTCTGAAAAATCTTATAAACAGGAAGGAATTACTTCAAATGAACAAGATTCCTCAAAACGATCCACATCAGAAAAAAATGCTATTGGTAAGAAAACAACATTGTGCATTAATGAATAACCAGAATTTCTGTCCAACCAATAAATATGCTTTACAAATGCAGATATTCCTATCGAAATAACAATTGAAGTCCTTGGGGGTGGAAAGCAATCTCTAGTTGTTCGCAAGGTTAGTTTTTCTCAATTTATTTATTCGCCTAACATAATTCTAACGAATCAATTCAATATAACACAAACAGTCGGACAACTTGGAACAGATAGTCGATGAATTCTGTCAAAAATGGCAAATGAAAGAGTATGAAACATCCCTGCAAGAGGCCGTCAAAAAGAAACTCAAATCTAAATCAAAGGCGAAACGTTCCGGCAGCAAAACGTCTCTTCCTTGCTCTAATATGACAGCCATTGATAGCGTTATGCCAATTGGATGATTGAATGGGGGGGTATATATATAAAATATGATTCTTATTGAATGCTGGTGTTGCTTTTTTATTTTTTAATGTAATTTGAGATTATAATGTTTCTTTTAACGAAATATTTCGCTGCAGAGGCTATTGTTGCAACAGCAATTAATTAATTACTTTGTAATCATTCATTCGATGTATATACGATCTTCATTGTAATAATACTGTTGTCTTTGTAAAATAAAAATCATGAAAATTCGCGTTTTCTCGTAACCATATATATTCTTATTTTGCGTCATATGATGAGATAATTCATGATTTATGATAAATATTATTATTTGTCAACACATAGATTTCTAGATAATAAATTTCATTTACTTGTCAACCAATGGATATAATTCAGTCTATTCTCGAATGGTTTAGATCAGTAGAACAAGATCTTGAAATATCTTTTAACCTGTTTGGAATCTAAAAAATATTTTCATTGTTGGATGCATTTTTTTCAAAAGGAACGTAAATTCGATCGATTATATCGATCACAAAGGAATCAAAATTACAAAGTCCAAGTCCTTTACAATGGTGCCACATATCGAATTTACTAATAAAAGCACTATACAGTGACATGCAAAAATAACATTATCGATCTTTAATCACACAATTCTCAATCACGAAAGATCCGCAAATGAAGCCAACATCGGTTTACAAATTAGTAAAAAACGACCTATGAGCATTTTTTTACCGTTTTTTAAATAAAATGATTTTTCGTTTAAAAAAACTAACAAATAAAAATTTTATAAGCAAAAAATTTTTTTCTTCCGCTTGCCATTGACAAAGATTTAGAGCGGATTTCACTCGCTATAAGCTTGCCTTCCTTTTCTTTGAAAAACCTACTATATTCTTTCGGAAATAAGAATAAACATCACCTCAATCTTGTTGATATAATAAGAATTCATTTTATTCCATCCATAAATAAGCGTCATTCCTTCATTTTGGAGGTATTATTCTACGGGTATGAAAATAACAGAAGAGTTTTTTCACTGAAATGATTCGACAGGTGACATTTTTTACATTTTTTTCATTTTACCTTATTCTTGATGTTTTACTGCAACTCATTCTTATGTAAAAATATCACCAATATACTATACTTTGATGTAATATCACATTCCTTTATACGACACCGAATGACTATTTTTTAATAAAATGAATAAATCCCTACCGAGGCACTTTAAAATGAACACATGGAATTATAAAGCAGGCTACATATAAAAAAGGCGACAATGGCTCTTATTCTATTGTCTCACCGCTACCGCTACCATTTTTTCATAATCCATCTCTTTGGCCCATTTCTTCACGTGGCTCTTAAAATTTCGCAAACATAAAAATTTCCGCGTTCGCGAAATATGTTACACTCGTCTTAAACCTCTGTAACAGATGAGTGATAATCTTTACCGAAATAATTTTAACATTGCATTTTGCTCTGCCAAATTTTTCTGTCGATAAATAAAAAAGGCCTGAATGATAAATATGAAGAAACAATGATATTTAAAGATAGTGATAATCTTCAAGGTGTTAAAAATAAAGTCTATGGAAATGGCCAAATATGTTTAAATAACAAAAGGTGTCACGCACGGACTTAACTACTTCCAGTTACTTCTGGGATTATTAGCTTATTGTTCCAGTTCCCAGTATGTATGTTCAGTTCGCACGTTTCCAATATTTCCCACTGGTTGTGTGATAATTCTTTTTTGAGATAACGAACAACAAAAAACACGATGTCTTTGTTCATACAAATATATATATATATATCACTCGCGCTTTCTGCATATTCATCCATGATTAAATATTATCATTAATTTGGTTTGAGACAAAAATAATAAACAAACAAAGATGAAAGAAGGCTTTGGAAAAAAAGTCAAAGAATTCGGTGAGAAAAAAATATGGCATAGACTATCCACCAGATTCTCGACAAAAGATCATTCTCCGAAAGCTAATGACGATTATGAATATGATAACGAGAATGATAGTAATTATGAATCAACTGTTTACGAGGACGATGAAACGCTTGATGTTTCTTCATCTGTAATTTATGATGATGAAGATGATGAAAACGAAGATGATTCTACTTTAGATGATCTTCTTCGTACATATACTCGCGGTAATGCCATTGACGCTCCACAGGAAGGGAATTTGGGACTTGTTAATAGCGCTTTTGATCCGTCATTCAACAATATCAATCATGTTAATAATATGAATGCGACTGGCCAATTTCTTCCGAATATGCAAAACAATCCTCAATTTAATTTTGATCCTAGAATGTTCCGGCAACAACAAAGTATTGGAGTTGGCGTTAATAATGCAGCTATTGGTGGTGATAGCCTATATAATCAGCATCAGCAACAACAGCGACAACAAAGCGTTGTTATTGGCGGTGATGACCCGAACCAGAATATGCATAATCAGCAACAGCAACAACAACAACCTGCATCATTAAATAATTCATTACAGGAAATTAATATTCCACCCACCGAGCTATTAAATCAGCCAAACTTAACAGAAATGACAGAAATGAAGAACAGCGTTAATAATAACAGTACTAACCATAATGCGAATAACATTCATAATGCAAACAGCATTTACATCAACAATAATGCCAGAAATATTTTATCAGAAAATGGACAACCCAATACAATCTCTGATACAAATCCATTCAGAAGTGTCGTCCCACCCCCACCGTACGAATCAAATGCACAGACTAATAATAACGAAAATGATAACAAGAATAATGTTGAGAAGAATAATAATGCTTCTCAATTTTCTCCTCAAAATAATTCCGAAATTGTATTTTTTAATAATAACCAATTATCACAACAACAGCAGCAGCAACATATGCTACTTCAACAATTACAGCAGCAGCAACAACTAATTCTACAACTACTACAACAACAGCAGCAACAGAAAAGTCTTGTTGCAAGTCCCACCTCTATTGGGCGCAATTTTTGGATAAAGCGAACCTTTAAGGTTCTATTGTTAGGTGGCACAGGAACCGGCAAATCTACTATTATAAATACGTTGACGAATTATTTTCGGAATGGATCGCTTGATCATCTTAAAGTTTCGATTCCTACTAAATATCTTAGAGTGACAGAACGAGGTGATAATGATGTATCTTTCATAAATTTTAAATCAAAGTTATCTCTAAATCTATTGTGTTTTATATAATTTAAGATTTCAAAAAACACTCGGAAGCAAAAATCGGCAATGTAACTAAAAGTCAAACAACGACTTGCACTCAGTATTTATTCACGCATCCTGTGTCTACTTCCTACAAATTCATATTTATCGATACTCCAGGGTTAAGTGACACGAATGGAATGCACCAAGATGACGAAAATATTCAAAAAATTACCGACGAAGCAATTCGTGCAGGAACCTTATCTGCCATTGTTATAGTTGCTAATGGAACGGAGGCTAGAGTCACGCCAACAATCAAAAACACGTTGGTTCGATTAGCAAATAGTTTGCCTGATGTTCTTATTGATCATAATCTATTACTTATTTTAACAAAGTGTTCAAAGGCGAGTGCTTGTTTCTCTGTCAATTCTTTCGCAAAAGAGTTCGCAAAGCCAAAGGTTTGTAGCAATTTTTTATCCGTTACCTATATTAAGATATATAATTTACTATTATGATCTATACTGGATATATAGAAAGTTTTTTACATGGATAACCAAGCATTCTGCAGAGATCCACAAATCTGGAGAAATGACCGCTACGAATATGAATCTTTAAAACTCGCATGGTCTAAATCCATCTCCACATCAAACGACTTTCTACGCACAATCACTAAAATGGCAAAAACCTCAACAAAAGTTTTTGAAACAATGAAAACGATCCGCGACAAAATAAAATCGGAAATTGCACGTGTCTCGCAAGACATTGCAAACATTCAACAAGTGCAGGATAAACTTGAAGCGGCGCAAGAGGTTCTCAGGCGGACTGGGGATCAAATGAATTCTTTTTCAAATTATACGAAACATGAGGTGATTACGTTGAAAAAGATCGTGCCCGCCAATTTTCATAGTACCGTTTGTTCGACTCATTTGAGAGATAATATTATTTGCCATGAACATTGTGGATTAGAGTTTATTAGTGCGAAGGGTTCGTCGGGTTTTGGTCATTGTTGGTGTATGGGTCCGAATAAAGTGTGTAGAATATGTGGGTGCGGACCTGTAAGGTAAATTATTAAATATAATAATAATCGATTTTATTATTAATTTATTTTAATAACTTTTCTATAAATTCAACAAACAGCCATTTCCACGACAAAATCAAATTAACAACCGAAACCCAAACCATCGATCAAGTTCTCGAAGACATGAAAGCACAATACGATATTGCCGATCAAAAACACCGAAAAATTAGTGCCAATACAAACACCTACCAATCCACATTAAAAAGTCTCGAAGCGGCAGCTGACGACAAATACCGTGAAATCCACAAACTCTGTATCGATCTAAGCAAGGTTTGTAGTCGTTTTAATTTTGTCGACGAATTACATGCAAATATCGAGAATATGAAACAGGATGCACGCGCGATGCAAAACAATGATATGCGAAATAAAGCCGAGATGGAAATTAGGAAACTTGAAAAGATGGCGAATGATTTGTCGGCAAAACAGATGAAATGATTTGTTTGGGCGTTTTTGTTTTTTGTGAGATTCTATTTATATTTTATTCATATTATGGGTTTGTGTTCGTTCTAATAAATACGAATATATTATTTTTCTGAAATGTTTCGTCAAAGTGCGATTAGTCAAAAGTTCATCCGTAAAAAGATCATTATAATATGATCAACTATTTCTATAATTCAATATAGTATGCAAATTTTTACTTTCAATCGAATCAAAAGCAAATCATAAGAAAGTTAATAATCTCTACATACATTGTCTTAAAAATTCCCAATTAAAAAAATAAAGCAACGACTAGTAATCTTGGGTTAGTTTTCCAAATTTTCTGGTTTCCACAGTAAATTTTTTTTGAACAATACTTGCAATTTCAATTATTATCAACTTGAAAAAAACAGCAATAAATTTAATATTCAATTTTATTAAATTTATAATTTATTGCCAGCTTAAAATTAAGAAATCACTTAAACATATTTTTCCTTTTTGTTTCACAATTCTGTTTTTAAAATACATGGAAGCATTTTGTTTATGCATGTAGTATATCATTTATCTTTATATTCCACATTTATTTTTCATGAACAACTAGGACCCAGGACAATATTGCTGCCAAAGCCCAATTCTTTATGAGGCTTGCCAGTTCGAATTCAAAAAGTATCAGACATCCGATATCTATTAAATAATCTTATTTTTGGTTGTTTGTTAGGTTTGTTTTTGCCAGATATATCACGTGTATTATTTTGATTGGCTGAATTTCAACATGCAAAAATTATATTATACAAAATTTATATGCGTCAAATTATAGTATTTCGCAATCATGAAATATGATTCAGATCAAAGTAAATTTAAAAATCTATATCCCGAAATTGATCAGTTTGGTTTTAATAAGATAGATTTTTGCATCATCATTAATTAAGTAACGTTTGTTAAACTATAAATAGTATAATATTTACCTGGAAATCTTGAGGATTTGTATTATATTGGTAAATGCAATTTGATTATTCAGTTTCTTTAATAAGAAATATAGATAAGACTCCTGTATCTTTTGATCTTCCAAGCAAAACAATAATTAATGAAATTGAAACTTATACAATTGAAATTCATACTTGTGATCATGAAAAATTCAATTTTATAATTATCTTGGCATATTGTAACCAATCACTTATTCATATGGCGCAGTAGACATGGCACAGTAATCGCCGATCACTACTAAATCGGGCGAATAAGTAATTTTATTAATTAATCTTATTTATAATTAATTTTATTTTTAATCTATATTATTATCCATATTTAGTCTTATTCAAATATTAATTTAGTCATGTGTATCACATCTAATTTATAGTTTTATTAAATTAATAATTTTCTAATTAATTATTATTAATTTTCTTTCATTTC